TGTAAATGTTTATGAAAATTAATAAAATATAATTATAGGAAAAAAAATCTACTGTCTAGGACTTTTCCAAAATACATAAGAGCAATGAGATTAGTTTAAAGACTAACGTGTGCCAGATTCAAGTCACATTCTTTGTAATCACCAGGTGTGCATCTGAGAGCTAGACAATGAATAAGGATGTCAGGAGAAGAATGGATGCATTTGACTTGTGTTGTAGAAGAGAGCTTAATATCTCACAGAATGCCAAAAGAACAAAGAGCTTTGTGTTACAGCAAGTGAAAACAGAATGTTACTTGGAGGCAAAGATGGTGACGCTTTGAGGCTATTCCTTGGAAAGGGACATCATGGTTGGAAAAGTAGAGGGAAAGCAAAGGAGAGGAAGACTCTCAATGAACTGGACTGATACAATGTCTGCAGCAATGGACTCAAATGTTTTGAGGATAAGGATGGTTCAGGATAGCACAGGGTTCAATTTGTTGTTCAGATGGTTGCTATGAGTCGTACTTGACTTGATGGCACCTAACAACAGCAACAACAATGGGAAACAAAAGAAAATCTAACTCCCATAATTTAGGAAATTATTAAAAAATGCCATTAATAAAATAAAATCATTCTGAAGATAATGAAACAATGGTTACAGCAATACATTGACAGGAAACCGTCAGAAATTAAAATTCGATGAAGAAATAGACATGGAATAAGGGATATCACTGTTGACAACACTGTTGTTCTTGGCACAATGCCGAAAGTACCAGGAAGATGTTTACCTATTTTTTTTAATTGACTATGCAAAGTTATTTGGCTTTGCAAATTAGAATATATTATGATGTTATGGACAATGAAAGTTCCTGAAAATGCAATTGTGTTCATGTGGAACTTGTACATAGACCAAAAGGCTGTGGTTTGAATAAAACAAGGGGTTACCACATTGTTTAAAATCTGGAGTACTTTGTTTCAAGGTTGTATTCTTTCACAACACTTATTCTATCTGTAAGCTATGCAAAAAGCCTCAAGAACTAAACTATCTGAATAGAATACAGACACAGAATTGGAAGAAGACTCATTAACAACCAGAGATATGCAGATAACCTTGCTTCCTGGAAGTAAAGAGGAATTGAAGTACTTATTGATGAAAATCAATGACTAAGACTTTTAGTATGGATTACACCTTAACATAAAGAAAACAAAAATCTTCCCAACTCAACCGATTAGTGACAACACCAAAGAGAAAGACAAATGGAGAAAAGACTGAAGCTATCAAGGATTTAATTTTCTTTGGGTGCACAATCAATGCCATGGAAGCAGCAGTCAATAAATCAAATGATACTCTACCTTGGCCTGTTTGCAAAGCCCCTTTTGAAAGCGTTAAAGAGCAAAGAAATCACTTTGAGAAATAAGGTGTGCCTGACATAAGTCATGGTATTTTTAATTGTCTCACATGCATGTGAAAGCTGGACAGTGAACAGGAGAAATGAAGACTGGATTCCTTTGAATTAAGGTGTCTGTGAAGAATATTAAGTATACCAGGCTGTTAGAAGTACAAGCAAATCTGTCCTGAAAGGAATACAGTTTGAATATTCCTTAGTGAGGATGGCAAGACTTCATCTCCTGTAGGCTGCACATTTTATCATGAAAGACGCTGCCCTTGGTAAAGAAGGGGATCACACAAAAAAAAGATTTTCAGTGAGATGGACTGATGACAGTATTTGCAACAATGGATTCAAATATGACAATAATTGTGAGGATGCTGCAGGATCAGGGAGTGTTTTGCTCTGTTGTACACAGGATTGTCTGAGTTGGAACCAACTTGACAGCACTTAACAGTTGAACTGGAGTGAAACTGTTATCCATTGGGGTTTTTTTAAAGTTTTTCTTTGTAAAAATACTGCTTAATTGCAAATTAGCCTATTCTCCATTATTAAGCTTTTAAATAAATATTCCCTTTTTACTTATAATAACCATCACTATGCTTGGAATAAAAATGCTTTCATAAAATTAACTCAGTCAGTACTCAGTGCCTCAAAATGAGTGAATGCTAAGTTTATCACTCTTTCCCTCAATCTAAATCGGACTATACTGACCCACTTGCTGAACCAGTCTTATATTAGAAATTTACACCTAATTTTATATTGATTTTTAAAAGCTATTTAAGTGGGCCATATACCTGTGCATTGTGGCTACCCTCAGGACTGTCCACTTTACTCATTAGTTCCTGTTTAAACTATATGGGTGCTTGGCTGCAATGTTTTATTTATTCTTCACTTTGTATCTTTTTTTACTAAGAATATCTAATATTATTTTATATAGTAGCAGCTTTTTAAAAAATGACCCAAATCTCAGTATAGCCACTGCTGGGATAACCCAGAATGTGCAAAAATACTAAGTGTGATAATTTCTTAGGTGTAGATTGACTTTAAAAAAGAGTCTACTAGCCTACTCAAATTCCTCGTATTTATACTAAGCCATGTATATTGTATATGCCATCTAAATGTCTTTTTTGAATGTGGAAAAATCAGATTATTTTGGTAAAAAAAGGGCCTCAATTAACCTTTTGCTTGGGCTTTGGCATGTGGACACATTTGGAATAGGTTAGGCCAATGCATTTTAGGCATCCTTGAAGTTCTCATGAGTATCCAACCATACAAAGAGAGCTTACTATAGAACACTGACCTAAAATTAATATCCATACAGAAGACAGACTTGTCCTCTAAAACAAGCCTATTGCTTATTGGCTTGGGCAGAGTGATCATTTCTTCAAGCACTTGTTCCTTCTTTTGCTATAATACAATTTAATAATACTCAGGCTCAAACTGCTGCTGACAGTGGTGTTGATGAAAGAACAGCTCAATAAGAATGTATGGGATTTCTTTGTTTTAAATAGTAGAATAGCCTCTGATTTCCTCCTAGCTAAAAACAAAAACAAAACGAAAACATATGTGATACTGCTAATTCATCCATCCTGCTTTTATGAGTAAACATCTCTGGAGAAGTAGAACAGGTCATTACTAAAACACAACAAAAAAGCCTCCTGGTTACATACTATTCCTCCCAAGACTGTATTTCTTTAAAATTTAAAATATCAGCCCTAGAATATACTGATATGCCTACTACTTTTAATGATTTGTATGATTATGTTGTTGTTAGGTATTAATGATTACAACACTTGTTAAATGTATTATATACTTTGTATTTCATTGCCATTGCTGACAAATTATGTACTTAAAAATAATTTTTCAGAGGAGAATGAATTTTAGTGCTTAGATTGGACTGCCAAGTTATTTCCCTCCTATGACCTTGTCTGCATTACTGTCCCGGCTAGAACCAACCCACCCTAAAAACAAAGCCCAGAACTCTAATTTTCTAGTGTAAGATAACACTAGGTGATACTCAGTCACGTCTACCACCAGTACTGACACCAGGGGTCTTAAAAGTTCAAAGAGAAAGGCTATATCTAAGATCTCAAATTCTTGCAGAATATATGCAACTTCTTTACAGGTGCTTTCCACCCCTTAATGCTCACTTGCTCATAAGGGGAAGTTATGTGGGCTTCAAAGCTGAGATGCTTAAAAATATTATGATGTCTGACCCAGATCTAAATTTAAACTCCATTTTAGATGAAATTGCAGCATGGTAAAAACTGTGCACCTGCTGTCCTAAGATAATCCATTTTTATGTATTTTTTTAAAAGTTAACTGCTCCTAACGTAAAACAGCAAAGGTCAAAATTTTAGACCATGCAAGGAAACATTTGTTTAAAGATGTTGGTTAACAGTGTCTTTGCAGCTTACTCCAAGAAAAATGCCCTGACCAATATATTCACAGAAGTTAAGAAACAGAGTTGATAATTGTTAAGAATTATAGCTTCAACAACCTTCCTTGTAATTTCCTTCTATGCACCCACTTCATATCAGGAAACATGTTACCTTCATTTACTCCATCTGATTTAAAAAAAAAAAAATCTCACTGTCCTTTTGTAAAACTATAGTACCCTGTCTTGGTGCTAGAGTAACTAATTTTGAAAATCTTTCAATTTTTCAGTGAAATAATTTGCTTTCACTTTTACCACAATGTTAAGACTGATGTTTTGATAGAACACAGCACTTCTTCTTCTGTTCTTACAAGCTGACAAAGTCTGGTGAACCTCGTCAACCATGAGGATACTAAATTCAACATACAAGTATTAGAAAATAATTATACTTAAAATAATCAAGTTGTACTAATCATGATACCCTTTTATTCGTTATCCATGCATTTCTTCTCTTGAGACAAGTGAAATGTGACCAAAAATAAGACCATCAACACTAGTTTCACTAGGATAAAGCCAACACTACAAAAGAAAAAAAAATTCAATGAAAATGTCACCCCTATTAAGGAAAGCAAACTATTTCTCATATTGTAATAGGACTTCCAAGAGAAAGTCTATTTCAAAAGGACACAGACACTTTTATAAATCTATGGTTTTTGAAAAGACAGATTAAATGAAAGGTATGTTATTATATTTCTGGTCCATCAGCAGTAATTTGTCCTAATTAGTACTTCAAAGATTAATAACTGCACACTAAAAACTATGAAAAAGAAAATCTAATACTTACTTGTCTCCTACAATTCCCAAGTTGATTGTAGGGTAACCATGTTCTTGAATTGTTGCTAGGAGGGTTGAACGATTACTGTCTCGAATCTTTCCTGGTAAGAGGTCATCTTCAGGATTTAGCAACTATAAGCCAGAAAAACAACACAAATTACTCTCTTAGAATAATAGTTCTTATTACGACTGGGAAAAAGTAAATCCAGTAAAAAGCTTAGGATCTTTAGATTGAGTAAACAAACATTTACAATTGTATTAGATACATTGAAAGTACATGTTCAAAGACAGGATGACTGTTTTATTTTTTTCTCTCAAGCTTTTTGATATCTTTTCTGAAGTGGGTGCCACAGTCTCAAGTAAGTGAATTAAATTTGAAGCACAGGGAGGTAGACATCTGTTTCTGTTACTAAAGGTCACACAAGTAACATTGAGCTACATATACTTAAAACTTTATGACTCTCTGAATGAAAATACTCTTTAGAGAGTTAGTATCTATTTTTGTTTTGTATGCATATAAAATCATACAATAATTTTATGTTAAAGTGTTTAATGAGATAATGTGATAAGTATGAAGAACGTGGAATTCACAAAAGGGTAAAATTCAAGTCAGCTAAAAATATGAGTTTCCTTATTTAAAATACAGTCATAATAACTACCTTACTGTGGAGGTGTTAGAATCAACTGAGATATGAGACATTTAGTTAATGTAGATAAAGACATAATAAATGGGATATTCTTTTAACTTTGACACAAAATATTGAATTTACTTTGTTATGTGTTGTGGAGTTGCTTGCAACAGTCCTAAACTCTCCTCTGTCCTTCAAGGACTTCAAGGTCTGAATTTACTTTAGTCCCAGTTATTCTCATATTGTTACTCCTACATGTTTGTATAGATGGAGTTAGTTTATAAGATGAATATAAATTATTGGGTTATAAATACTTAGCAGGACGGGCCTGCCACCTAGACTAACGTGCAGCCCAAACCCCAGAGAACCACTATCACAAGTACTGGGGAAGCTAAAGGAAGTCTCTGATAGGTATCTGCAGGAAGGAAGCTGAGTGCTCTTGACTGCTGTGATCTGAAGCTAAGTCTCTGTCTTGCTGAAACGAGGACAGGGAACTAGCAGTCTTAATTTAAACACAAAGTTCTAGTTTGTCTCCCACTCATACCATGCTCCCACCCAGAGCATTAGATGGCCCACTATGTGGAGAAAGCCCAACAACGTGAAGATGGCCCCAGTTCCACCCACTGTCTTATACCCCTGGCCATTTCCAGAGCCAATACTTGACCTGTGGACACTTTAACTTCACCTAGCTGTGGCAGTTGCCTGGCCTAGAAGGCTGATAATTCACAGGCCAGCTCTCTCCCCAATTGAAGTAAGTCTTCCCTTAAGTCAAATGATCAGAGAGAAATTCAAGCAAGGGTGAGCTGCCTTTTTCTCCTCTGGAGCAGTGAGCTCTTGAGCCAAGGTTATCAGACCAAGGGGCTGGTAAGGACCAGGCAAGAAAAACTCTTCCAAAGCAAGGACACAGAAGAAATGGACTACCTCACACCCTACACAAAATCAAAACAAAATGCCACCTCACCAAAGTGAGTAAAACACAGAATCAATTGATTTCCTGAAGCCAAAAAGTCTAATGGGACATTCTGACACAGAATTCAGAAGAATAATGATTGAATATTTTCAATGGGTGAAAAGCAAACTTAAAGAATTACAGAACTCTGAACTTAAAAAAAATTAAATAATCCAAGATAATGCAGATAAAACAAATGAGGCATTAGAGGCTCCAGATAAACAGGTAACCACAATACAAACTATGAGGACCAATGGTTTAGATGCTGTCAACATGCTGAAGAGCCATATGAGCAGAGTTGAAGAGATGGAACACAGAACCGGTGAAATAGAAGACACAATTCTCAACACTGATCTTCCAGAACAAAAAGCAGAATCAAAAAGAAAGAAAAAAGAAGAATGCCTAAGAGTAATGTGGGACAATAGCAAGAAGAACAACATGCACGTAATTGGAATTCCAGATCAGGAAGAAGCAAATAAAGATAGCAAGAAAGTTGAGGAAGAATTACTAGGAAAAAACCTTTGCAGCAATAATGAAGAATGAGAGAATATATATACAAGAAGCAGAATGAACTCCACACAGAACAGACCCCCTAAAGAAAAACACCAAGGTATATCACAGTTAAATTTGCCAGAACTAAAGATTAGAGAATTCTGAAAGCAGCTAGGCAGAAACAGAATAACCTATAAGGGAGAGCAAATAAGATTAAGTGCCAATTTCTCGGCATAAACCACACGAGCAAGAAGACAGTGGAATGATGTATACAAAATACTCAAAGAGTACAACTGTCAACCAAGAATACTGTGCCCAGAAAAACTGTCCATCAAATATAATGGTGAGATCAACATATTCTCAGATAGGCAGAACCTAAGGGAGTTTTCAAAAACAAGACAAGCATTGTAGGAAACACTGTATAAAGTCCTTCTTATAGAGAAGCCAGAGAAAGCAGGATGGATCAAAGTAACCAGAAACAATACCAAAAATAACTAAAAAAAAAGATAGCAATAAAACTTTACCTCTCAATATTGTGAATAGTTTAAATGCACTATGAAAAGAAAAAGAGTAGAAGATTGAATAAAAAAACTAAACCCATCAAAATGCTGTCTACAAGAGACATACCTGAAAATGAAGATAAAGGAAGACAAAATTATAAACGGTGGTGGTGGTGGGGGGGGAATACCAAGCAAATGGCCACCAGAAAAAAAAAGCAAGGGTAGGGATATTAATCTCTCTGATGAAATAGATTTCCTTGTAAAAATAATTACAGAGGTCAAGGAAGGTGACTATAATGCATAAAGAGTAAATAAATAAGAGGGCATAATCATAATAAATATCTATGCACCAAATGACAGAGCTGCAAACTATTCAAAGCAAAAGTTAACAGAACTGAAAAATAAACAGACACCACCAAAATAGTAGTAGGTGATTTCAATACACCACTTTCAAGAAAAGATAGAATTCAACAAAAATGATGAATTCAACCACACAATAAACCAACTTAATCTCACAGATATACACAGGCTAATGCATCTCAAAAAAGCACAATACACTTTCTTCAATGTACATAGAATGTCCTCCAGAAAAAAAAAATTAGGTCAAAAAAGCCAGCATCAATATATTAAAAAACAAACAAACATAAAAACAATATAAAGCATCTTATAACATGTTGTTGTTGTTGTTGTTATGTGCCGTCGAGTCGTTTGCGACTCATAGCAACCCTCTGTACAACAGCCCAAAACCCTGCTCTATCCTGTGCCAAGAGCATAGCCTCTGACACACCCATCCCGATTACCCCAGTCACTGAATCAATCCACCTCATAGAGGGTCTTCCCCTCCTGCACTGTCCCTTTACTCTACCCAGCATGATGTCCCTCTCTAAAGACCTGTCTCCTTACAACATGTCCAAAGTATGTCAGGCGAAGCCCCAGAATCCTTGCCTCCAAGGAGCAGCCTGGTTTAACCCTCTCTAGGGTGAATCTGTTTGTTTTCTTGGCAGTACATTAAATACTCTTCTCCAGCACCACAGCTCAAAGGCGTCAATTCTCCTTCTAGCATACCTAGTCATTGTCCAACTCTCTGATGCATAAAAAGTGATTGATTGCAAAAACCATGGCCTGTATCAGGCACACCTTAGTTTCCAGAGAGACACTGTTGCTCTTGAGTACTTTAGGGAGGTCCCTAACAGCAGACTTTCCCATCGCAATACGTTTTTTGATTTCCTGGCTGCTGGTGCCAAGAGTGTTGACCATGGAGCTGAGCAAACTGAAGCTGTGAACAATCTCAATCTCTTCACCATCCATCCTGATGCTACTGATTGGTCCAGGGGTGAGAATTTTTGTCTTCTTGACATTGAGCCTCAGTCCATACTGAAGGCTGCAGTCCTTGACCCTCTGCAGTAAGTGCATGAGGTCCTCCTCAGTTTCAGCGAGCAGGGTTGTGTCATCTGCATAATGCAGATTGTTGATAGATCGTCCACCAATCCTAACACCACGCTTCTCCTTATAGAGCCCAGCCTCTCGGATAATCTGCTCTGCATATAGGTTGAAAAGGTATGGAGATAGGACACATCCATGGCGTACACCCTTCCCAATTTTGAACCATGCAGTAATGCTATAAAATTAGAAATTAATAATAAGAGGATTAAGGAGAAAAAACCCATACATTTGGAATCTGAACATGATCCTGCCTGAACTTGAGTAGATAATAAAAGAAATAAAAAATGAAATAATAAAGTTTCTTGAAACAAATGACAATGAAAATACCACTTAACAAAATGTCTGGAAAACAGCCAAAGCAGTCATGAGAGGTCAACTTATAGTAATAAGCAAACACATCAAAAGGCAAGGGGGAAAAAAGCTAACTGATTCTCACCACTGGACTGACTAGCAGCATCATGACAGAAGATGAAGAGATTGATATTGTTGACAGCTTCAGTTTGCTTGGCTCTACAATCAACACTCTTGGTACCAGCAGCCAGGAAACTAAACGACGAATTTCATTGGGAAAGTCTGCTTTCATGGACCTCTCCAAAGTACTGAAGAGGAACGATGTCGGTCTGGAGACTAAGGTGTGCCTGATACAGGCCATGGTCTTTGCAATTAGTTGCTATGCATCAAAGCTAGAAAATGACTAGGGATGACAGAAGGAGAATTGATGCCTTTGAGCTGTGGTGCCATGGACTGCTAGGAAAACAATCAAGTTAGTCCTGGAGAGGGTGAAGCCAGGCTTCTCCTTGGAGGCAAGGATTATGGAGCTCAGACATACTTTGGACATGTTGCAAGGTGGGATCAGTCCTTGGAGAGGACTTGGGAGGGTGGAGGAACAGCACAGGAGAGGAAGATCCTCAATGAGATGGATTGATTCAGTCATTGTGTAATGGGGAGAGGCGTGTCAAGAGACAATAACATTGGCAAGAGACAGAGCAGCATTCAGGGCTGTCATAAATAGGGTCGACAGCACATAACAACAACAACAACAATAACAATTGATTCTTTAACCCAACGTCTCCAAGAAGTTAAAAAAAAAAAGAACAACAAGAAAACCTGATGCCTTTT